GTGAGTGTGACTGGCCTGGGGCACAGCTCAGTGTGGCAGTGACTGTGAGTGATGGGGGAGGCTGTGAGTGTGACTGGCCGGGGGCACAGCTCAGTGTGGCAGTGACTGTGAGTGATGGGGGAGGCTGTGAGTGTGACTGGCCTGGGGCACAGCTGTGTGTGGCAGTGACTGTGAGTGATGTGGGGAGGCTGTGAGTGTGACTGGCCTGGGGCACAGCTCAGTGTGGCAGTGACTGTGAGTGATGGGGGAGGCTGTGGGTGTGACTGGCCTGGGGCACAGCTCAGTGTGGCAGTGACTGTGAGTGATGTGGGGAGGCTGTGTGAGTGTGACTGGCCTGGGGCACAGCTCAGTGTGGCAGTGACTGTGAGTGATGGGGAGGCTGTGAGTGTGACTGGCCTGGGGCACAGCTCAGTGTGGCAGTGACTGTGAGTGATGGGGGAGGCTGTGAGTGTGACTGGCCTGGGGCACAGCTCTGTGTGGCAGTGACTGTGAGTGATGTGGGGAGGCTGTGAGTGTGACTGGCCTGGGGCACAGCTCAGTGTGGCAGTGACTGTGAGTGATGGGGGAGGCTGTGGGTGTGACTGGCCTGGGGCACAGCTCAGTGTGGCAGTGACTGTGAGTGATGTGGGGAGGCTGTGTGGGTGTGATTGGCCTGGGGCACAGCTCAGTGTGGCAGTGACTGTGAGTGATGGGGGAGGCTGTGAGTGTGACTGGCCTGGGGCACAGCTCAGTGTGGCAGTGACTGTGAGTGATGGGGGAGGCTGTGAGTGTGACTGGCCTGGGGCACAGCTCAGTGTGGCAGTGACTGTGAGTGATGTGGGGAGGCTGTGAGTGTGACTGGCCTGGGGCACAGCTCAGTGTGGCAGTGACTGTGAGTGATGTGGGGAGGCTGTGAGTGTGACTGGCCTGGGGCACAGCTCTGTGTGGCAGTGACTGTGAGTGATGGGGGAGGCTGTGAGTGTGACTGGCCTGGGGCACAGCTCTGTGTGGCAGTGACTGTGAGTGATGGGGGAGGCTGTGGGTGTGACTGGCCTGGGGCACAGCTCAGTGTGGCAGTGACTGTGAGTGATGTGGGGAGGCTGTGAGTGTGACTGGCCTGGGGCACAGCTCAGTGTGGCAGTGACTGTGAGTGATGGGGAGGCTGTGAGTGTGACTGGCCTGGGGCACAGCTCAGTGTGGCAGTGACTGTGAGTGATGGGGGAGGCTGTGAGTGTGACTGGCCTGGGGCACAGCTCAGTGTGGCAGTGACTGTGAGTGATGGTGGGGGGGAGGCTGTGGGGGAGTGTGACTGGCCTGGGGCACAGCTCAGTGTGGCAGTGACTGTGAGTGATGGGGGAGGCTGTGGGTGTGACTGGCCTGGGGCACAGCTCAGTGTGGCGTCGAGTGAGGGGGGGGGCTGTGAGTGATGGGGGTGTGGGAGGCTGTGTGAGTGTGACTGGCCTGGGGCACAGCTCAGTGTGGCAGTGACTGTGAGTGATGTGGGGAGGCTGTGAGTGTGACTGGCCTGGGGCACAGCTCAGTGTGGCAGTGACTGTGAGTGATGGGGGAGGCTGTGAGTGTGACTGGCCTGGGGCACAGCTCAGTGTGGCAGTGACTGTGAGTGATGGGGGAGGCTGTGAGTGTGACTGGCCTGGGGCACAGCTCTGTGTGGCAGTGACTGTGAGTGAGGGGGGGGGGGGGGGTGGGGTGGGGAGGTGTGAGTGTGACTGGCCTGGGGCACAGCTCAGTGTGGCAGTGACTGTGAGTGATGGGGGAGGCTGTGAGTGTGACTGGCCTGGGGCACAGCTCAGTGTGGCAGTGACTGTGAGTGATGGGGGAGGCTGTGAGTGTGACTGGCCTGGGGCACAGCTCAGTGTGGCAGTGACTGTGAGTGATGGGGGAGGCTGGGAGTGACTGGCCTGGGGCCAGCCAGGTGGCAGGAGGGGGAGGCTGTGGGTGTGACTGGCCTGGGGCACAGCTCAGTGTGGCAGTGACTGTGAGTGATGTGGGGGACGGGGGCCTGGGGCACAGCTCAGTGTGGCAGTGACTGTGAGTGATGGGGGAGGCTGTGAGTGTGACTGGCCTGGGGCACAGCTCAGTGTGGCAGTGACTGTGAGTGATGGGGGAGGCTGTGAGTGTGACTGGCCTGGGGCACAGCTCAGTGTGGCAGTGACTGTGAGTGATGGGGGGAGGGTGGGGGGGCTGGTGGGGGAGTGTGGGGGGGGGGGAGTGTGACTGGCCTGGGGCACAGCTCAGTGTGGCAGTGACTGTGAGTGATGTGGGGAGGCTGTGAGTGTGACTGGCCTGGGGCACAGCTCAGTGTGGCAGTGACTGTGAGTGATGGGGGAGGCTGTGAGTGTGACTGGCCTGGGGCACAGCTCAGTGTGGCAGTGACTGTGAGTGATGTGGGGAGGCTGTGAGTGTGACTGGCCTGGGGCACAGCTCAGTGTGGCAGTGACTGTGAGTGATGGGGGAGGCTGTGAGTGTGACTGGCCTGGGGCACAGCTCAGTGTGGCAGTGACTGTGAGTGATGTGGGGAGGCTGTGAGTGTGACTGGCCTGGGGCACAGCTCAGTGTGGCAGTGACTGTGAGTGATGGGGGAGGCTGTGAGTGTGACTGGCCTGGGGCACAGCTCAGTGTGGCAGTGACTGTGAGTGATGGGGGAGGCTGTGAGTGTGACTGGCCTGGGGCACAGCTCAGTGTGGCAGTGACTGTGAGTGATGGGGGAGGCTGTGAGTGTGACTGGCCTGGGGCACAGCTCAGTGTGGCAGTGACTGTGAGTGATGGGGGAGGCTGTGAGTGTGACTGGCCTGGGGCACAGCTCAGTGTGGAGTGACTGTGGGGGTGGGGAGGCTGGGTGTGGAGGGGGGGGGGCAGTGTGGCAGTGACTGTGAGTGATGGGGGAGGCTGTGAGTGTGACTGGCCTGGGGCCCACCCCGGGGGGCAGTGACTGTGAGTGATGGGGGAGGCTGTGAGTGTGACTGGCCTGGGGCACAGCTCAGTGTGGCAGTGACTGTGAGTGATGTGGGGAGGCTGTGAGTGTGACTGGCCTGGGGCACAGCTCAGTGTGGCAGTGACTGTGAGTGATGTGGGGAGGCTGTGAGTGTGACTGGCCTGGGGCACAGCTCAGTGTGGCAGTGACTGTGAGTGATGGGGGGAGGCTGTGAGTGTGACTGGCCTGGGGCACAGCTCAGTGTGGCAGTGACTGTGAGTGATGGGGGAGGCTGTGAGTGTGACTGGCCTGGGGCACAGCTCAGTGTGGCAGTGACTGTGAGTGATGGGGGGAGGCTGTGAGTGTGACTGGCCTGGGGCACAGCTGTGTGTGGCAGTGACTGTGAGTGATGGGGGAGGCTGTGAGTGTGACTGGCCTGGGGCACAGCTCAGTGTGGCAGTGACTGTGAGTGATGGGGGAGGCTGTGAGTGTGACTGGCCTGGGGCACAGCTGGGGGCTGTGGGGGGGGGGGGGGGGGGGCTCAGTGTGGCAGTGCTGTGTGGGGATGTGAGTGATGGGGGGAGGCTGTGGGTGTGACTGGCCTGGGGCACAGCTCAGTGTGGCGGGGGGGAGGCCTCAGTGACTGTGAGTGATGGGGGAGGCTGTGAGTGTGACTGGCCTGGGGCACAGCTCAGTGTGGCAGTGACTGTGAGTGATGGGGGAGGCTGTGAGTGTGACTGGCCTGGGGCACAGCTCAGTGTGGCAGTGACTGTGAGTGATGTGGGGAGGCTGTGAGTGTGACTGGCCTGGGGCACAGCTCAGTGTGGCAGTGACTGTGAGTGATGGGGGAGGCTGTGAGTGTGACTGGCCTGGGGCACAGCTCAGTGTGGCAGTGACTGTGAGTGATGGGGGAGGCTGTGAGTGTGACTGGCCTGGGGCACAGCTCAGTGTGGCAGTGACTGTGAGTGATGGGGGAGGCTGTGAGTGTGACTGGCCTGGGGCACAGCTCAGTGTGGCAGTGACTGTGAGTGATGTGGGGAGGCTGTGGGTGTGACTGGCCTGGGGCACAGCTCTGTGTGGCAGTGACTGTGAGTGATGTGGGGAGGCTGTGAGTGTGACTGGCCTGGGGCACAGCTCAGTGTGGCAGTGACTGTGAGTGATGGGGGGAGGCTTGTGAGTGTGACTGGCCTGGGGCACAGCTCAGTGTGGCAGTGACTGTGAGTGATGGGGGAGGCTGTGAGTGTGACTGGCCTGGGGCACAGCTCAGTGTGGCAGTGACTGTGAGTGATGGGGGAGGCTGTGAGTGTGACTGGCCTGGGGCACAGCTCAGTGTGGCAGTGACTGTGAGTGATGTGGGGAGGCTGTGAGTGTGACTGGCCTGGGGCACAGCTCAGTGTGGCAGTGACTGTGAGTGATGGGGGAGGCTGTGAGTGTGACTGGCCTGGGGCACAGCTCAGTGTGGCAGTGACTGTGAGTGATGGGGGAGGCTGTGAGTGTGACTGGCCTGGGGCACAGCTCTGTGTGGCAGTGACTGTGAGTGATGGGGGAGGCTGTGGGTGTGACTGGCCTGGGGCACAGCTCAGTGTGGCAGTGACTGTGAGTGATGTGGGGAGGCTGTGTGGGTGTGATTGGCCTGGGGCACAGCTCAGTGTGGCAGTGACTGTGAGTGATGGGGGAGGCTGTGAGTGTGACTGGCCTGGGGCACAGCTCAGTGTGGCAGTGACTGTGAGTGATGGGGGAGGCTGTGGGTGTGACTGGCCTGGGGCACAGCTCAGTGTGGCAGTGACTGTGAGTGATGGGGGAGGCTGTGAGTGTGACTGGCCTGGGGCACAGCTCAGTGTGGCAGTGACTGTGAGTGATGTGGGGAGGCTGTGAGTGTGACTGGCCTGGGGCACAGCTCAGTGTGGCAGTGACTGTGAGTGATGTGGGGAGGCTGTGTGGGTGTGATTGGCTACCGCCTGGGGCACAACTCGGTGGGGCACTGCCTGTCTGTGGGTGACGGGGGCGGAAGGAGTGGGTGTGACTGGGCCGGCTCGGCGCGCAAGTGTGGCAGTGCCCCTGTGCCAGCGCCCGGGGCTGGGCGGAGTGCGTGGCCCTGCCGTGCGTGTGCAGAGCGTGGCGGCGGTGCCTGTGTGAGTAAGTGACCGCCCGACTGTGTCAGGTGACTCGGGTCACGCAGTCTCTCTCGCTCGCTCCGCTGGGAGGACGCGGGGCTCTGGCTGGCTGCTCCGGTCGCAGCACCGCCCGGCCCGAGACCTGCGGGGAAGGGATCGAATCGGAACCTCCCGCGGCAACGGCGGGGGGCGGCCGCGATGAGCCAGGTGCCGAGGAAGCCGCAGGAGGAGGAGGAGGAGGAGGAGGAAGATGAACTTGTTGGGCTCGCGGACTACGGGGATGGGGCCGAGTCCTTCTCGGATGGAGACCTGGAGACCGGCGCCGACGAAGCGTGTGAGTGCCCCGCCGTGCTGGGGAGGGCAGCGCCGCCGCCGCGCCAAGCCTGCGGGGCCGGGAGCGGACCCGGTGCTGGGGGAGGGGCTGGCACTGTAGGTACGGGGGGATGAGGCAAGGCAGGGGCTGGCTGTGTGGGGTGGGGAAAGGGCTGGCACTGTAGGTACGGGGGGATGAGGCAAGGCAGGGGCTGGCTATGGGGTGGGGAAGGGGCTGGCACTGTAGGTACGGAGGGATGAGGCAAGGCAGGGGCTGGCTGTGTGGGGTGGGGAAGGGGCTGGCACTGTAGGTACGGGGGGATGAGGCAAGGCAGGGGCTGGCTGTGTGGGGTGGGGAAGGGGCTGGCACTGTAGGTACGGGGGGATGAGGCAAGGCAGGGGCTGGCTGTATGGGGTGGGGAAGGGGCTGGCACTGTAGGTATGGAGGGATGAGGCAAGGCAGGGGCTGGCTGTGTGGGGTGGGGAAGGGGCTGGCACTGTGGGTACGGAGGGATGAGGCAAGGCAGGGGCTGGCTGTGTGGGGTGGGGAAGGGGCTCGCACTGTAGGTACCGGGGGATGAGGCAAGGCAGGGGCTGGCTGTGTGGGGTGGGGAAGGGGCTGGCACTGTAGGTACGGAGGGATGAGGCAAGGCAGGGGCTGGCTGTGTGGGGTGGGGAAAGGGCTGGCACTGTAGGTACGGGGGGATGAGGCAAGGCAGGGGCTGGCTGTGTGGGGTGGGGAAAGGGCTGGCACTGTAGGTACGGGGGGGATGAGGCAAGGCAGGGGCTGGCTGTGTGGGGTGGGGAAGAGGCTGGCACTGTAGGTACGGAGGGATGAGGCAAGGCAGGGGCTGGCTGTGTGGGGTGGGGAAGAGGCTGGCACTGTGGGTACGGGGGGATGAGGCAAGGCAGGGGCTGGCTGTGTGGGGTGGGGAAGGGGCTGGCACTGTAGGTATGGGGGGATGAGGCAAGGCAGGGGCTGGCTGTGTGGGGTGGGGAAGGGGCTGGCACTGTGGGTACGGGGGGATGAGGCAAGGCAGGGGCTGGCTGTGTGGGGTGGGGAAGGGGCTGGCACTGTAGGTACGGAGGGATGAGGCAAGGCAGGGGCTGGCTGTGTGGGGTGGGGAAGGGGCTCGCACTGTAGGTACGGGGGGATGAGGCAAGGCAGGGGCTGGCTGTGTGGGGTGGGGAAGGGGCTGGCACTGTAGGTACGGAGGGATGAGGCAAGGCAGGGGCTGGCTGTGTGGGGTGGGGAAAGGGCTGGCACTGTAGGTACGGGGGGATGAGGCAAGGCAGGGGCTGGCTGTGTGGGGTGGGGAAAGGGCTGGCACTGTAGGTACGGGGGGATGAGGCAAGGCAGGGGCTGGCTGTGTGGGGTGGGGAAGAGGCTGGCACTGTAGGTACGGAGGGATGAGGCAAGGCAGGGGCTGGCTGTGTGGGGGTGGGGAAGAGGCTGGCACTGTGGGTACGGGGGGATGAGGCAAGGCAGGGGCTGGCTGTGTGGGGTGGGGAAGGGGCTGGCACTGTAGGTACGGGGGGGATGAGGCAAGGCAGGGGCTGGCTGTGTGGGGTGGGGAAGGGGCTGGCACTGTAGGTACGGGGGATGAGGCAAGGCAGGGGCTGGCTGTATGGGGTGGGGAAGGGGCTGGCACTGTAGGTACGGGGGGATGAGGCAAGGCAGGGGCTGGCTGTGTGGGGTGGGGAAGAGGCTGGCACTGTGGGTACGGGGGGATGAGGCAAGGCAGGGGCTGGCTGTGTGGGGTGGGGAAGAGGCTGGCACTGTGGGTGCGGGGGGATGAGGCAAGGCAGGGGCTGGCTGTGTGGGGTGGGGAAGGGGCTGGCACTGTAGGTACGGGGGGATGAGGCAAGGCAGGGGCTGGCTGTGTGGGGTGGGGAAGGGGCTGGCACTGTAGGTACCGAGGGATGAGGCAAGGCAAGGGCTGGCTGTGTGGGGTGGGGAAGGGGCTGGCACTGTAGGTATGGGGGGATGAGGCAAGGCAGGGGCTGGCTGTGTGGGGTGGGGAAGGGGCTGGCACTGTGGGTACGGGGGGATGAGGCAAGGCAGGGGCTGGCTGTGTGGGGTGGGGAAGGGGCTGGCACTGTAGGTACGGGGGGATGAGGCAAGGCAGGGGCTGGCTGTGTGGGGTGGGGAAGGGGCTGGCACTGTAGGTACGGGGGGATGAGGCAAGGAAGGGGCTGGCACTGTAGATATGGAGGGATGAGGCAAGATGGGCTGTCTGTGAGGGGCATGGGCTGGGGTGACTGGCTCTCTCGGGAGGGCACAGAGGCAGGCACTATGGCAATGAGGGACTGCGTCTGGGTGTGGGGGAACAGGGAATGGGGCAGGGCTGGGGCTGGTTTTATGGGGATGGGGAGGAGCTGGCTCCGGATGCGGGGATAGGATAAAGGCATACACTGACTGGAGAGTGGGTAGGGGCTAGAGAGACTGGACTGGCTCTGTGGGGAGGGGGGACTGGCTCTGGGGGTAGGGGGATGGACCAAGGTAGGGTCTGAGTGTGGGGGAGGGAGAAGAGTCTGGCTCTTTGGGAATAGGGGGAGGTCCTGGCCCTGAGGATGGGATAAAGGAAGGGGTTGGCTGGGTGGGTGTGGGATGGGACAGGATTTGGTGATGGGAGGGGGTATAGAATGGGGTTAGGGCAGGGGTAAGCAAACGTTTTGGTCTGAAGGCCACATCTGGGTATGGAAATTGTACAGCAGGCCATGAATGCTCATGAAATTGGAGGTTGCAGTGTGGGTGGGTATGCGGGCTCTGGGGTGGGGCGTGAAATGTGAAGTTCAGGGTGCAGGAGGGGGCTCCGGGCTGGGGCAGGGTTTGGGGTGTGAAGGGGATCGAGGGCTCTGACTGGGGATACAGGCTCTGGGGTGGGGCTGGGGATGAGGGGTTGGGGGTGCAGGAGGGTACTCCGGGCTGGGACCAAGGTGTTCGGAGGGTGGGAGGGGGATCAGGGCAGGGGTTGGGGTGTGGGAGGGGGTCAGGGGTGCAGTCTCCAGCCGGCGCTTACCTCAAGCAACTCCCGGAAGCAGCAGCATGTCCACCCTCTGGCTTCTAAGGGGAGGCGCAGCCGGGCATCTCTGCATGCTCCCCGTCCGCAGGTGCCGCCCCTGCAGCTCCCATTGGCCATGGTTTCTGGCCAATGGGAGTTGCAGAGGCTGTGTGTGGAGCGCCCTGGTTGCCTTTAGGCATAGAAGCTGGAGCGGGGACATGGCACTGCTTTTGGGAGCTGCACAGAGCGGGGCAAGCCCCCGGCTAGAGCGCTGGAGTGAGGCAAGCACCGGACCCCGCTCCCCAGCAGGAGCTGAAGGGTTGTATTAAAACTTCTGAAGGGCCAGATATGGCCCCCAGGCCGTAGTTTGCCCACCCCTGGGATAGGGTCTGTTTTGGGAGGGTGTAAGGGATACTGAGTAGGGAGGTAGGGCAGTGATCACTGTATTGTGGCGGGAGGGAGAGTAAGCAAGTGTGAGCTTGTCAAAGTTGGCTGTGTTATGGAGTAGGAGGCAGGAAGGGAGAACAAGGTGGCTGTATGGTGAAGAGAATGTACAAGGAATAGGGATGCATTAGGAAATGTGAACAGGAATGGATGGTGGGACATGGGGACTCAGTGTTCTGGTGGGGGGAGAAGGAGAGCAGCACTGGTTATATGTGTTAGGGAATGGGAATAGGAGACATTCAAACACAAAAACATCTCCATATAGTACTTACCATGTCTTCTGCCATGAAAGTTTTCCATGTATAATATGAATGGACATAGCTTGGTGATGTTTCTTTAGAGTGCCAAGAAGCGGGGAGGACAGATGTCAGGCTATAAAAGGCAGCAGCAAGCAAATAGTTCTGTGTCCAGGGCTGCTCTGCAGCTGTGAATGTCAGTCCCCAGATTTCCAGGCTCTGCTTAAATGCCTGTGTGACTGTGTGCATATACGTGTTGCTGTGGGTGCCTGCGTTGCCATTTGCTTCATCCTTCAGTGCATGTGGAGGCAACAGTGATGCTACAAAACAAATGCTTGTTGGGAAATACATTACAAAAGAGGTAGGCCAGGCCAACACCTGTTGCTTTCACTTAGAATGTGCACTGTTTTTCCCTTGAAACACTGTTACATTTTACAAAAGAGCTTGGAGAACACTGAATATTTCAGGGAGTTGCTTTTTAAGTACAAAGCCAAATATTCATTGATATACAATGATATGGTGCAATAGGTATTATTACTTTTAAAATCACTTAAAAAATCTGAGTAAGGGATTTTCTGTGTTTTTCAAACTACTTATTTATTTAGGAAGTTTTAACTAGTTTACAAATCCTTGTCATGTAAATGTCAGAAACAAAGCAATTCATTACAACAGTTAGCTTTTGTTTAAAGAGATACAGGAATATATTCATCCAATCTTTCTGTTTAACAGGATATTACCATATTACAGAATGAACATCATTATAACACTTATGTAATTTCTAGTGATTTTATTATATTGAGTGAAATCTCTGTATACACATTTAACAGACCAGGTATGTCTATCAAATGTCAATATATATCAATATTCAAAAAAATTGGACAGGTGTCCTGGTGTTTTTGCAGGTGAATGTACTACGTCTGAATATTGAATAAAATGCAACCAAATAGCTAAGTATCTATCTGTTCTCTGTCTATTTTGCTGGATACATAGTTTTTGTGTTAATTTTTTCATAACCGCAGCCTTCCATATTTTTGAAGCATTCCTCCGAAGTTGGACTATTTTTCTTTTTACAGTGAGATGCCACCAATATCCTAGCAGCTACTAGCAGATGAGAGATTAATTCTTTATTTCCTTTGTGTGACCACTAGGAAGTCCCAGGATGATTACCAAAGGATCATTTGATAATAAATATCCAATAGTTTGTGATATGTGGCTACAGATTGCATCCCAATACTTTCTAATGACTGGACATGTCCTGCATACATACATAAAATCTCATCTTTCACCACAGTTTCTCAACATTTATCCCCATACAATCTCTCTCTCTTTTTAAGCTG